CCGCTCTGCCACCCGGTCGTACCGGGCTGAAGCGGCGAGGAACGGGGGAGGGCAGGCAGGCTCCCGCAGGGCTGGAAGGCCGGAGCTAAGGGAGAGCCTCCCGCGGGAGAGCTTTGTATGTGCGTGTCTCTGTTTTGAAGGAAAATCCACTGTAATCCCTCGTGCCTGTGTGTGGGCGCCCAGCTCTCCCCCTCCCCTCCCGGCCTCAGGGAGCGCAAGGGCTCCGCAGCCTGTGCCCCTAAAAAATGCAGCTGTTTCTGGGGTGGAGGGCAGCTTCTTTGCCAGTGGCTCTTGCTCTGTGCCTGGGAGGGGACAGCAGAGTAAAGGCACTGTGTTCAAGGTCACCAGGACACACTTCTCCCTTACCAAGGGCGTTCTGGTATTTTTAAGATCCACCAGTAGGCAGCACGTCTATTTTTGTTACTCGCAGAGTGCTGTGCATGTACTGGGTAACTGGCAGGCTCACAAAGAAGGCTGGATTCCTGTCACAGTTTACAATCCCACGAACCCATCCCATGTGCAGGACAAGCACAGCGATGTTGCTGCATAAATAACGCCAGGCAGTCCAGTTCGGATAGATAACGCGTGTCTCCAATCATCGTAGCCTGAGAGCTCTTCCTATTTCCCAGGCAAGGCAGGGTTGTATCTGGAGAAAAGTCCTGCTGGACGAGCTCCCAGGAAAACACAAGTGGTGTGAGCACAGGTGTTTCCAAGGCACTGCGCCTGCTCTGTCAACTGGGTAGCCAAGTGGTGCCTCAGCAAGGTTTTGGAGTGGACCCGAGTTAGAAATGTTGATGTTTTCCATGGTGGTAAGGTCTGAAACAGGAGAAAAGCTACTTCGGTGGCCTGGGTATAGATAGGAAGGTTGTCTGTAGTGGTAGAGGAAAGCAGAAAAGGGGAGAGGAATCTCATTAAGGTAAGGATCTTAATCTCTGTCTCTCAGATGAAATAGAAAAGCTCTGAGCCTGAGTTCCCTTTTGGAAATTCATTGTGTTTATTTTTATAGGGGTTATGGTAAGGCTTTTAACCGTGCCGGTGTCTTTGACTTGATTCCCTGTGCCTGTGCAGTCCCACAGTTGCACCAATCGGGCTGCTCCTGTTTACTCCCTGCCTTGAACCTCTTCTATTGATTGGCATTGCAGACCTGAACGTGCAGCACTGGCAGCATTTCAGCAGTGATACTTAATCTTTGTTTACAGTGTGTTAGGTTAGGTGATTAAAGGCTCGTCTCCACATACACAGAGGAGCTCAGGGGCACGTGGACAGGCGGGGGGGCCCCAATAACCAGGTCAGAGAAAGGGAGCCCCTACCCAGCCCCTCCCAGGGGAGCCTCAGCCCCATGGGGCTGGGGGGGACACCCGGCAGTCAACCAAAAAGCTCTATGCGTCGCCTCACAGATTGAGGGTGTTACTGCCTAGGGGTACTGGACACGTTATGGGATGCATAATAGGAAGAGCATTTTGGGATTGTACAAGGCTTATTATGAGACATTTAGGGCAGGAACCAAAGGCGGGGAAAGAAAGGGACCAAGGTGATATGGGAATGAGCAAGTGTGGGAAAATAGTGGGATGAGGAGGTAAATAGGGCTAGTCCTGTGTAAACAGGCTGCTGGTCAGTATGCTTGTCTGGCTATGCCCTGCACCTGATCAGCGCAGTCTCTCCTGTCTTCTCACTAAACTCTAGTTCTAACTCTTTTACTGGGTGAGAGGGCTCGCTGTTCTGTGTGCGTGTGTGTCTGGGGTGTAAATGCCAGCAGCAAGAGTCATACCTCAGGTCATAGGGACCCATGCCAGAGGGGAGGACAGGATTACACCATTCATGCCATCTGTGTTTGCTTGAGTGTTTGTGTCTGTGTTGATCTGTGTGGTTGGCCATGTGCATATTTATATATATATTTATGTATACATACATAGTGTGTGTGTGTGTGTGTGCGCCTGTGAGTCAACATCAAGTCAGAGGAGTAAATCTCCATCTAAACGTAATGGAAAAAATATGGTATAAAATCTCAAGAACTTTTTGTAAGTCAGAGGTGGTACCATATTCCTGGAGATTGTCAGACAGTACCAGTATTTAAGAAATGAGAAGAGACCTAGGGAATTTCAATTACATGAGCTAGCTGGTGGTAGCATGCAACACGGAAATTCAGGAATGTTTTTAATATGGAACCCATTTCATAAACTGCAGAATATAGGGATAGGTGTAAGGCACATATAGTGAAAGTGTAGGAGACTAGGAATATGAAGGATGGCAAAAAGTTGTCCTGTTAAGGCAAGATGTCATTCTGGAGAAAAGTTAGGAGTAGCATTTCAAAAAAAGTAATCTTGGATTCCATTTTATTTAGAATTTTCACTAGTGGTCTTGGCAAGTAAGTACAAATGAATTAAATTTGGATAAGAAACTGTCAATATACAGGATGTTTGGAATAACATACTAACTAGATGAAGAGTAAAATCACAGAACTGGGATGAAGTTTTAATGGAAAAAAAGCCAAAAATTTTAACTATACACTAGAGACACATCAGCTGGAAATCACAAAGGAAAAGAAAGAAAAATTCAGAACTATTAGATGATCATACGATGACATAGCCCATTATGACAACTTATGGTGTCGTAAGTTTTGAGAAAGGAAAATGTATTTTTATCGCATATAAACTGAGGCTAGTATAGATATGGAATTTTGTTGACCTGGCTGTATCTCTGCTTACCTGTTTGAGTTTGCTGCAGTGACACTTCTCAGTAGAAATTGTGTTACAATTAACAAATAACTTTACAGAAAGCTATTTCTTCTTTGTGATTAACCAGTGACTTGCAAACACTCTAGATCAAGTTGCCAAATAGTAAGTATGTGGCCAGCCATAAGCTAGTTTGAAAAATAAGGACAAATGGCAAGAATCAAGTCCATCCACAGAACAATTTGTAGGAAATGTGTAAACAGGACAAGTATGCTTATATACATGAGCTGTGAATTTTAGCAGTAAAGCGGAGAAGAAGACCACTTCATACATTGCCTCTGGGTTTGACTTCAGTGTCCCTGTAACTTAGGGAATGTGTGTATATTTCCCGAGTTCTTGGTCTATGTTCAAAGGCAGAGTAAGGTAAACTCCCATAGGCCTACTTTTCATTTCAATTTTACCTAGGCATTTAATGCATCAAAAATCTACGCCATAGATTGTATAGCAGTATTTCATAGAATCATAGAATCATAGAATCATTAAAGGTTGGAAGAGACCTCCAAGATCATCGAGTCCAACCATCAACCCAACAACACCATGCCCACTAAACCATGTCCCTAAGCGCCTCATCTACCCGTCTTTTAAATACTTCCAGGGATGGAGACTCAACCACTTCCCTGGGCAGCCTGTTCCAATGTTTAACTACTCTTTCAGTAAAGAAATTTTTCCT